TTTAATATTTCTAAACAAGGACAACTATTCGACAGTAATTTACTAATATAATCAGGTGTGAGTTCCCTATTACAATTATATGGGATAAAAGAATTCGGTATATATGTCATACAGCAAACTTAAATCATGAATTTTATTTGTTCACATTGAGATGAAAAGCTCTAGATAAGAAATAGTCTCTTGTAACTAGTGCAGGTTTGATAATAAAAAAACTACTATTATTGTTAATTGTTAATATCAATTTGTAATTCATAACTGTTACAGTTGGTAACAATTCAATTGGGCCACTGTATATAACGGGCTGTTTATAAAAAAAAAACAAAGTACAGAACTCTCTGACCAATAATTATAATCATCATATTCACCTGACTTATAATGGATCCATATTTTTTATATTTCCGAAGCTAAAACTACTACGCCGAAAAATGCGTTTTCAACCGATTGCTTTCATAGAATTCGAAAATGGAGTTAAAGACCATACATTAATGGGTCTACGTAAGACATATGGAGAATTGAGGATTCTAGTTCCAGGATTATTAAAACTAAATGTTGATTTATTGGTGATGAGAATAGTTATTTAATATTTGTTTAACAATTAATTAGTATATTTTAGATTAATAAATATTGTAAATTTTAATAATAGTGTCACTCTTTATACAGAATATATGGGTATGAAATACGATACATAACGTTAGTGATGACACAAATATTATTGTTATCAAAATATTGTTGACTTTCATTTGTAATTATCATTATTTAAATTAAGATCGTAACTCAAATACGGTAGATAATTCTTAAAGAAAAATATCATCATAAATTTGTATATGTTATTAGATTAACTGAAATGAGGTTAAAAATACATAATAAGTAAACGCATTCTTAAATGCAAAATATTTATTTTTTATTTTTAATTTAATTTTATTGCAATCTACATTCAACAATATGTTTAACTTAACTAATTCATATAAATATTAAAAAGGTTTAAGCTGTGCGCTACCTATATATATAATAATAATACTACCTATATTTTACTCTGTAAACGTCCATTTTCAGTGAAGAAGATTTATGGCGATCATTAAGTTATGTGAAGATATTTTACTGGATCACATGAACACTTAGAGAACGTTAGTTCTTATACATTGTGACCGAAAAGTTTTCGGAGGTTCTCATTTAAAATTCGCGCGCTGTATATTTTTCGATATTTTAAGTTTATGTAGTTTGGCAGCACTGTCCTTAATTACTATGCCAAAAATGAGCGCGATCTGTCGGACAGTTCGTTTACGGCAGCTGTTGAAACCAGTTCACCTCAGTAGTGCGTTGCGAAAAAAACAATGGAAAAAAATATTGAACAAAGAGTTTGCATCAAATTTTGTTTTTCGAACGAAATTTCGTGTGCAGAATCGTTGCGAATGCTACAAAAGGCTTATGGGGAATCAGTTTTATCGAAAACTCAAGTTTATGAGTGGTACAAAGCCTTTCAGGACGGTCGTACGACCGTCGAAGACATGCCGCGTTCTGGACGACCTTCGACCTCTACCACCGACGAAAACATTGAAAAGGCAAAGGAAATCGTGTTCAAAAATCCTCATGTGAGTGTTAGAGAGATAGCACGAGAGCTAGGCATCGGTCGTGAGATGGCTCGTTTGATTTTGGTGGCCAATTGTGTATGGATAATTCCTGGCTTTTTCCGATTCTCCTCGCTTTGTTCAACATTATCAACGATTTTAAGGCCAAACATTCAATAAATACCATCGAACAGCCACCGTATTCACCTGATCTTGCACCGTGTGACTTTTTCCTGTTTCCCAACCTCAAATTACCACTCAGAGGAACGCGTTTTGAATCCATAGAAGACGTAAAACAGAATTCGCAGAGGGAACTCAAAGCCATACCGGAAAGCGCCTATAAAAAATGTTTTGATGATTGGAAGAAACGTTGGCATTTGTGTATCGCTTCTAATGGAGCATATTTTGAAGGAGATAAAATAAATATTGATGAAGATTAAGAATTTTGCGTTTTATTTAAAATTTCCGGAAGCTTTTCGGTCACAATGTATTAGATTCTAAGACTTGAATAATTAATAATTACGTTGCTATAACAACTTTTCTTCCCGCCTCAATTCGTATTACAAGTGTAGTTTTGATAAATATAATAAAGAGGTTTTTCGAACAGTAGTGAACTACAACAACAGAAATTCATTTTTTATTATTTTTAATTAATTGAATTTTTGACTGATCATACAGCTGTTTGAAGTATTACCAAATACCCATCATTAGTGGTCTTGGAAATAATACTTGTATTTAATTATTCCAAATAATTTTCTTAAGACTGCAAGTACTAAAAATCGAACTCGTGCCCAACCGAATTCAAAGCTCAGAGTCAGAGCTCCTTAACCAACTCACCCAAAGTCGACTTGACTTTTATGTTCGCACTTTTTTCTGTAGTTTTGTTGTTTTGCTGTGTAAGTTTTATTAACAAATTCACTTGATGTGTTTATATCAGAACGAAATCATAAACCAGCTGTGGAATAATTGAATTAATTAATTATACTTTTAATTTTATTTTTAATTATTAAATTTTAATACTATACTTTTGTAGAGGTATTAATTATTGCATGAGCTCATTTCTTTCTTGTGCATAGACCCTAATCTAGGAACGTAATACTGAGAAAGTCATGCTTATGTTACTCTACGATTTGCGTGAACGAGACTGTAGATTGAATAAATGTTTTTTTTAGACAGTAGTGACTATTTTTTCTTTAATAGAGACAGTGTTATTTAATAGAGAGGTTTCGAAAAGTAGTGAACTACAACAACAAAAATTCTTTTTATATTATTTTTAATTAACTGACCTTTTTATTTGTGAATAATTTCTTTGAGACTGCAATAAGCAAAGGTTGAACTCGTACCTTAAACCCTAACTACAAATTTGGCTGCGTACGAGTTCAACCCCTGGTACATGCAGTCTCAAAAAACAAAATGAAAATTATTTACGAATAATTAATTACAAGAAATAATTCCAAGACCACGGATACTGGATATTTCACAATACTCGAAACAGCTTATGGTCAGCCAAAAATTAATTAAAAATAATATGTAGAAAAAATGTTGTTGTTGTAGTTCACTATTTTTACATTCATCTGTTATTAAATAAATTTATAGGAAATTGATTAACTAGATTAATACGTATTTCTATGTATTAAAATTTATTCACTCACTTTTTGCATTCATAATGATATGTCATATCAATAGTGATATATTTTTATTCGCTTGCATTTACATACTAATCAGCTACTCTGTTGAGCGTTGTTAAATAGTTTATATTAACACATGACTCTCATCCAATCTTAATTGGTATTTTGTTTCTTATAAATTAAAAGTTAGGATAAATTTATACTTTACATCTTCACATTACTTTGCAATATATTCATATATATATATATATATATATATATATATATATATATATATATTATACTCCAATTTTGCCAGACATAATATTAGATGAGCCTGCATTTCGAGTGTCTATTCTTATATATCGGCTACAAAGATGTTTATGCTAAAGTGTTTATGCTTAGCAACCATAATTATTGAAAACGGTGTTTAGATTTTAGGTATGTGAAAGCAGAGTTGCAAAGAAAAAATTTGAGTTGCGACGCTTGAGATCGGTCTCTTCACTCCATAAGAAGGTGTGTCTTTTTATTTTGCAGTAGGTAGAAAGCATCAAAAGTCATAGTGTAAGATTTAGATCCGGTTATATCACCTCCACAAATCAATTGTGAAAAATATTCCAGCTCGCAATCAGAGTAAAATCAAAGTGACTAAAATCCCACTCCAGTAATCAAGAGCAGAATAAATTATTTTATTATTATTAGCTTTAGGCCTATTAGCTTTAAATATAATATCTTGAAAGATAGTACTACGTGAACGCTTATAATGTCAATAGTCAGGTCATAACATCGGGGTGAAAAATCATTTAGCAAAGTGGATTAGGTAAAGGAAAACCAAACTGACAGGTCTATAATTTAGCTAAGTCCCTAATATTATAGGTTGACAGCTAGGACAGGTCGATCAGAAAATGAATTCCAAAGATTTTTGCTCTTCTTCTAGCTAAAAAAGGGCTCTGACAGATGAGTTGGAGCACGATCTCCTCCTCATCTTCAGGACCTCAGTCTCGACAAAACTCATTGTAGAGTGGACCTAGTCTCATAGCATGCCTTCCAATTTCACAGTGGTCCGTGGTACTGAGCAGGCTCCACCTTAGTTGAAGTAGCTGACTAATGCATTTCTTGTCTTAATTAGACCAAGTCAACCTAAATATCAAACAATGAGGTTCATCAGTGAGGTATTTTTATTTAATTGCCAGTTTAACTGTAGCACGTGGAACGTCAATATCTGAGAAGTGAATGACAGCGAGAAGAGCCCCTACCTTGGCAAGCTCATTCGCTCTGCAATTACACGAGATATTCCAGTGACCAGGAACCCAAATGAGTTTAACCTTAACAAGCCCAGCTAGATCATTGAGAGAAGCACGACAGTTTTTAGTTATAATTGATGTGGCTGAAGTTTATAGTGTAGTATAGTGGATAGTGTATAGAGTATAGTGTATATAGTAGACAATAAATAATATTTGTATTTGAACAATTTCGACTTCTTCAATTCAGATAAAAATGTGCAATAAAATTAACTACCAAAAATAATCATTCAAATGAATCACAAAATTAAAAGCATAAAAATATTCTTATAAATACAACGCATTTTTCGATAGAAATTCTAATACTCATATACGGTTGAGTATTTGACATATAGTAGTAGATAAAATGCAATCTTGAGTTCTTTTTAAATCGAAGTAAAATTGGTTGAACTATAAACACTTAAGCATTTTGCAAAGCTTTCGAGTCAGCTTTGTTGTGGCGTTAGTTAACGCAATTATTTTTGCATTTTTATTATCAGAACAGTGAAACTTCAAAATTCTTAACAATTATTAATATTATTTTTAAATATTTATTTTTAATTTATAAAAAAATAAAGATGGAAGCTGAATTCATCAAAGTTACGTGTCATTTCAATCAAACGAAAGAATCTTTTTATTTGTGCAACACATTAAAATATCACGAAGTACTTAAGGAAATTTTGCACCGAATTAATCTAAATAATGTTAAGGGGTTCCACACTTACTGGTTTGGTAAGCATAATTAATATATGAAAAAATATCGTCTAAAAGAATGTCTAAGTAATTATCACTATCACTGTTTAATAAAAGGGGAAATCCCCAAAATGAAACAAATTCAAGCAAAGGTGTTACAATATCAATAGCTCCACAAAACGTCATGGTAGCAATTTCTTATGACTATTGTAAAGTTTTATCAGCAATTTAGTGAATTTCTCGAATATGTACATATAAGTCAATCCCTATAAATTTTAAATTGATAGAAGTGAAAAAAATACTGATAAAGTTTTAAATGAGTAAATTAAAAATTAAAAAACAGTTTTTAATGAATTAAATATTAAACTTAAAAAATAAATTCACACACAAGTAAAAAGTTTTTCTTATAAAAACAAACTTATTTTTACTTCTAATAATTAGAAGTATGTTAACATACATATATATGTATATGTACATATCAAGTATACACAAAATATGAAATGCATAGCATAATTTATGCCCATATTTATGCATACCTAGAGGTACTGGAAAAATATTGAATAGAAAGAAAAGCATTGTGCACAAAAATGTAAACATTTTTCTAGTCGTTATATGGATTTTATAATATAAATGGCGCTAATAGATTTCAATTAATAATCCGGAAATATTTTCAGAACTGCATCTTAAAGCCCACATTTTCAGTCTTTCGACTATTTAGCTTGATTTGTTACTGTTTTATTTGCATAGACCAACAATGACTCTATATAGTTTCACAAAAAATGCTATAAGAGATCATACCATAGTACTATTTTTGAAGACAATATAGTTATTAAAGACTCGCTTTAATAATTTATATAATAATTTTTTGGAATTTGTAAGATTTAACATAGTCTCCGCCTATAGTACATGCTCACAGACACATGAAAAAATAAGCCGTTGTTCAGTACTCTATTTCATGCGCCATTATTATTAACTGGATCATACCAGTGAGTTGGATAATGACATTTCATTTTTTCAAATTTTAAAAAAGTACGGTCCAAACATGTCCTCCAGTTCTTTAAGAGACCCAAATAATGCATTTTTCAGTATATATCATGTTTTGAGTCTCATTTACTTCGCATATTTAATATTTTTTAATTACCAAAGCTACTTAAACATAAATGCGGTTTGTAGCACTCTAAACGTTTCATATTGAGAATTCATTTTAGTTGTACATTGTGACCGAAAAGTTTTCGGGAAATTTTAAATAAAACGCAAAATTCTTAACCTTCATCAATATTTATTTTATCTCCTTCAAAATATGCTCCATTAGAAGCGATACACAAATGCCAACGTTTCTTCCAATCATCAAAACATTTTTTATAGGCGCTTTCCGGTATGGCTTTGAGTTCCCTCTGCGAATTCTGTTTTACGTCTTCTATGGATTCAAAACGCGTTCCTCTGAGTGGTAATTTGAGGTTGGGAAACAGGAAAAAGTCACACGGTGCAAGATCAGGTGAATACGGTGGCTGTTCGATGGTATTTATTGAATGTTTGGCCTTAAAATCGTTGATAATGTTGAACAAATTGAGGTGAATCGGAACAAGCCGGGCGTTGACACGTCGCATACACAAATTGTCCACCAAAATCAAACGAGCCATCTCACGACCGATGCCTAGCTCTCGTGCTATCTCTCTAACACTCACATGAGGATTTTTGAACACGATTTCCTTTGCCTTTTCAATGTTTTCGTCGGTGGTAGAGGTCGAAGGTCGTCCAGAACGCGGCATGTCTTCGACGGTCGTACGACAGTCCTGAAAGGCTTTGTACCACTCATAAACTTGAGTTTTCGATAAAACTGATTCCCCATAAGCCTTTTGTAGCATTCGCAACGATTCTGCACACGAAATTTCGTTCGAAAAACAAAATTTGATGCAAACTCTTTGTTCAATATTTTTTTCCATTGTTTTTTTCGCAACGCACTACTGAGGTGAACTGGTTTCAACAGCTGCCGTAAACGAACTGTCCGACAGATCGCGCTCATTTTTGGCATAGTAATTAAGGACAGTGCTGCCAAACTACATAAACTTAAAATATCGAAAAATATACAGCGCGCGAATTTTAAATGAGAATTTCCGAAAACCTTTCGGTCACAATGTATATTGAGTCCCCGACGATTCCTTTAACGTCTTGATATGCATAATATACCCATTTTACACTCTTTTATATAAAAGAGTCCCCGACGTTTCATTTAACGCGTTACAAAAGTATTGACATACATAATGTCCCCATAAAAGAGTGTAACTTTTATGTAAAGAGTATAATTACCTTTACTGAACAAAAGTAAGTGTACACTTAAAAGAAGTGTGGTTTCGTAAAAAATCCCTAAAAAAGCTATGATATTAGTTGGATTATAAACATATTCACAATATTGTATCTATATTAGTAACTAGTGCGGTGAGTTCAAGAAAACAAACTCTCATCATAAACTAGTACATTGACAGATCTATTTTAATGCAATAGCTCTGAATGCATTAGAACCAGTCTTAATAATTGTTAAAATTGTTAAAAATATTAACAATTATTATTACAACATTTACAATTAAATTAAAAGTAAATCAGAACTAAATTAAAATTAAATAAATTCTTTTCATTTCTTGAGGATAATTAATTCATTATTATTATAAGAAACAATCATATTTAGTTAAACTATTTATAAAACTTGCTCGGATGTGCATTTGTATGACAATTTGCTAAATATTAGTTAATTACATTATAGTGTTTAATTAATTATGTTAATGCTTTTGTAACACTTTTTAAAGACGAGCCATTCCGGGATGTATACCTGACCACTTCCCATTACTTATCTGCTTTTTGCATGACGTAATAATAAAAAAAAAACAAGTACGTACGAAAAGAAGATCATCATACTATATATACCATATACTCTTTTTAATTTGATGTTTACAATCATGACTCTGAAATTATTTAATTTCGACGTGCTGCACTAGCTCTCTTTGCAATATGCGATAGTTTTTCTTGATTAAGAAAAAATCATCGAAAACCTTAGTCAATGTGGAACTTTATTCTTCTAAAAACTCCTATCATCCGATATGTATAAATCCTACTGGAACCATTGTTTAGTATTTTTAAAGAATCGCATTTTTTCCTTGTATGATATATGTATTTCAATTTAAAAATAAAATTGTTAAAAAAATTATTTTAATAAAGCTATTCAAATATTTTGTATACATTCAATTGGAAGCGAATACGATTGGACTTCTATTATAAATACAATTAAAATATGTTTAACTTAAACCTAGTATAATTATCTAAAATTATACTAGAATATGATGTGTTTTTGGTATACATAAATAAATTCGATAACGTTTTTTTATACATTATTACACAGATTCACAACATGACAAAATTACAGTTTCGAATGGTACGGATTTTAAGGCTTTTAAAAGTATGTGCGAGTCTCCAAAACATTTACATTTGATACCATCTTTTCCAAACACTGACATGTCTACTAAAATTGACTCAAAAACTGAAAATAAAAATCGAATTGAAAAATCTAATAACAATGCCAATGGCAATAATAATATTAATAATAATAAAAATAATGACAATTTAAGTTTATTTGCATCAAATTATCCAAAGTGAAAAGTACACATTAATTTTTTTTTTAACTATTACTCTTTTTATAACTTAAATAAATCAATTTTAAAAATGTTTTTTTAATTTTTTTATATTATATACATATACATAACTAATGCTTAAAATACAGGCAAAAAAAATATTTTTTAAATTGATATTGAAAAAAGAAATACATACACATATGTTAAATATTTATTTTATATTCATTATTATTTATTAAATTATATACATTTAATATACTGCAATCATTTGTTAATATTATAAGGCAAATTAAAAACAAAAACTTTAATTCTAAAATAAATTTTTTTAAATTTATGTACCTTCTCATGTATTCTCAACAAAATTTATTTAAAATATGTAGAGGATCTGCAAAAAATATATATGTACGTTTTCAAACGATATAATTTTTTAATCAAACACTTATTACATTTTAAAGATTAAATCTTATAATAAATATTTTTTAAATATTTTTGTATTACTTCTTTTTCATATTATCGTATAAATATATTTTAAAGATTAAATCTCTTAATAAATATAATTTAAATATTTTTGTATTACTAATCTTATAAACATATTATTTTATTATTATGCGATTTTATTATTATGCGATTTGATTATTATATTACATTATTTGCATTAGAAACTATTTTGTATCATCTCGCAGAAAGAGTCCTTTAATTGTTATAATTAATTGTACAATTAAATTAAAAGCAAAGCTACTGCATTAAACAAATTTTATTTATATAGAAAGATATATTTAATATAATGCTATAACTAAAATTATTTATTTAAAATTAAATTAGAAAACAAAACCTAGTCTCCATTGGTCGATTTAAATTTAAATTAAAAGAAAAATATTTATTTTAATATTGTTTTAGCTATAAATTTTAAACTAATAATATATTTAAAAAAATATATATCAATTTATTTACATGCAATGTATTATCTCTGGTATTTGTACCAGAAAAAGATTTAATAACCAGTAATCGCAACGCAACGTTGATTTTATAAAATAAGCGACTTGATTTTATTATATTTTATGATTTTACTTTTATTTAAAATAAATAAAATTTAAAATATTAATTGTTACATTTTTTTTTTGCAAAAATTCTATACAAAAATACATTATATTGTTACCACTGGCATGAACTACTCATATTCAAAAAAATATTGATAAAACTATAGTGCTCATGGCACTTCACTAGGCATTTCTAAACTCTAGACATACATTTTCGAAACAATTTTAATACATTATGTACCGCTAAATTTCTAATTAATATTATAAACTATAAATTAACTAAAAATAAAATTAATATACATTATATATTTTTCCGAATACGCATAACTCCACAGAAGTTCCAACGTCATCTGAAATATCAACAAATATAATTTTTTTTAGCAGATGTAAAGAACAATTATACTTAGCTCAGTCCTAGGTTTCTATAGTATCAATCAGCAATCCAGCATTCCAGCATTCTAGCATTTTACTCATGAAGAGTACAAAATTATTTTATTTTGTGGATATAAAATATTTGATTGTAAAATGTCAGACGTAGATATGTTAACTAAATATTTTGATCTTGAATTACAACAAAATTAATTATTAGATATTGCTAACTTCTATAAGGAAAACACAAAACATAAGATTATCTTTTATACTCATTTTCCATTACAAATCCTATAAAAACTATCATACTAACAATAAATATCAATTTACACGCGATCCAAATAAATGTTAAAAATATGCTTCATCTTTTCACCATTAATCAGTTCTACTCTTCGTAGTAACCATATAAACTCCTTACCCTAAAAGGCTTTAGCTAAGAATCAGTATATACACAAACAACTGTGAGAAAAAATTCGTTTTTTTTTTCACAACCTACTATGATCAATTACTACAACAAAGACACTGACTTTGAGGTGTTAGAAATGCCCTGTTTTACAATCCGGATTCAGTTGTCATTGATAACCAAATGACGAAAATTATAGAAATATTAAAAGCTTTTAATTTTCCCACATCGATAAGTGTTAGCTCTGAAGAAACCAAATGCACTCTAGCTTTAGCTAAGACTCCATACTTAAGCATATATTATATTATTATAGAATTATAGTAATGTAATAGCTTTTAACTTCGCCACATCGATAAGTGTTAGCTCTGAAGAAACCATACACACTCTAGCTTTAGCTAAGACTCCATACCTAAGCATATAGGTACAATGACTAAAGTCAACTATACTCTATTTACATTTCTTTCTCACTATTTAGCGTGTGAGTTTGCTACAATTTTATTGAGTGTCTATAAGCTAATACCAGCACCTTTATATGATGCCCTTATCATTATGCAGTTATGAAAGGTATCGTTGCTTTTTACCGATTTGATTTAGTATTTACTAAAAATGTCAAACGCCCCACCCCATTTCACTAATGACCCAATGCGACTTATCTTGTTTTCGATCCTATGCGACTTTAAAACAAAACATGGTAATTAACAATAACAAAGTCCAATTATAAAGAATGTACTAAGTTACATCGGAAATATTGCAGTCCAATAATAATCCAAACATTGATGCAAAAATAAAGTTGCTTACGAGGCAGGCATCCTACATTTTAGTAGCGTTGATCCTATTAAAGAATTCAAAAAATACTTAGAATTAACAAAATAGAACAGTAGTTTTGAATAGATAATCTAATCTGAATTAAAGCTCAGTTCATTATTGTACATATATACATATAAGCCTTTAACATTTCTTATCTATTGGGTTGCATTGTTATGTAAATGATAAAGGATTAAATTTATTTTTTCAAATCGTCGAAAACATTTATAAATGTATTCAACCCAACCTTATTAGCAAATTAGTAACATATGAACTATAGGTCTGTCCCCGTATAATTCAAGTACAAGGCAAGGTAAAGTAAGAATAACTAATTTTCTACTGACAGATTTGTTTGAATGAAGAAACCACAAATTTAAAGTTTTTAGAGTTTTTTATTTCAAATTTAATCTAAATTATTTATGATTTTGAAACTGAGTATACATACGGATGCAAACTGTAGATTCTGCGAACAGAATAAGAAGTCAGCCACACATGTACTGTTAGAATGCCCTGCACTAATGCAATGTGGATAATATATATTCTTACGGAAGAGGCAATAACATTCAGTAAAGAAGATTCTATACTACTTTTTATTGCCGCAACAGGGCTTAACGACCTACTCTAAACCCAGAAGGGAGCACAATAGATCCGACGGTAGTAGTGCCACAACAAAAATAATAATGTTTATTATATATTTTACTTATTTAAATTTTATTTATTTTATTTATTTAAATATTAATTATTTCATATTGCAGTAAGTGTAAAAAATTCTGTTACACAGTAGAGAATTAAAACAGAATGGGTATTACCTTTATTTATGGGCTCCAAGAATCGCCAGGTTTGTGTCCCGGATTCATCATGATCGATAATCAATTTAACAAGCAGATCCTCACGGACTAAAAAACAACAATAGACTTTTGAAAAAAAAAAAATCTTTCTGCAGATATACGACTGCTGTTATGTGCCGGGTAGCGAAAGATATTTTCCAGTTTCGCCTCTGTTTCACAGCTATAACAGTAATCATAAAAATACTGAATAACCGAAGAGAACCATGAAACAGTATCAGGTTCCAAGAAAAGCTGGGTCTACGTCCAGAAAAACTCGTCGAAGACGACCAAATGCCGTTCAACTATCAATGCATAATAATATAATATTAATATAATTAAAAAAACCTCTTTATGAAATATATTAGTTTCTGTTAAATATAATAATCAATTCAGTCTGAAAAATTTGACGTTAAATTACAACTTATATTCACAAAATATTGGTCTCGCCTGTGCGATTAGTGGAGTAACATTAGCATGACTATCTCAGCATTACGTTCCTAGATTAGGTTCTATACATAAAAAAGAATATATTATTCATGCAATAAATAATGCCTCTACAAAAGTATAGTATTAAAATTTAATAATTAAAAATAAAATTAAAAGTATAATTAATTAATTCACAATTATTCAACAGTTGATTTATAATTTCGTTCTAATATAAACACAGCAAGTAAATTTGTTAATAAAAACTTTCACAGCAAATTAACAAAACTCCAGAAAAATGTGCGAACATACAACTGATTCTGAGCTTCAAATTTGGCAGGACATGAGTTCGATTCCAGGTTCTTGCAGTCTCAGGAAAACAGAAAATTATTTATGAATAATTCAATACTAGAATTATTTCCAAGACCACTGATAATGGGTATTTGGCTATACTCGAAACAGCTGTGTGGTCAACCAAGAATTCAATTAATTAAAATAATATAAAATGAATTTTTGTTGTTGTAGTTCACTACTGTTCGAAAAACCTCTTTATATATTATTTTAATATAATGACAAAAATGAATTTAACAGTGCTAGTAGTTAAATCTACAAAACAAAAACAACTTTTTTTTCCAATCTATAGCATTATCAACAATAGCCTTATCAACTTATTGCATAGTCTTCACAATCTATCTTATCTGATCTTATTTTAATTATCAAAGGTAAAATATTACTAAATCAAAAGTTTAAATGCTTATAGGAAAAGAAATCAAATTTAACATTAGTTGTTAGAACAACGTACTTAAATTAATGTAGATGAAAAAAACCTTATATATAAAAAAAAAGTGAAATAAGTATAAACGCAGACAAAGATATTTTTCATCAAGTAATGAGCAAAGAAACTAAATAATATTGATCGGATCAATTAATTCGTCATCAAGTCACTATAAAATGTCAGACTCAGGTGCTTAAATAACAAACGGAAGTACTTTATATTTATTTAGTTAATTGAGTTAAATTGATTTTAAAATTATATTGTTAATCCAAATAACTTCGATGACACGGATTTTTGAAAACACACCTCATAAGGAAAGCTGTATGATCAATATTAATCTCACATAACTTTTTAACTCAAAGCAATACTTTTTGATCAAAATTGATTACTGAAAGCGCATAAGGATATATCAAAATATTTTTAGAAATTTTTGTTTATTAATATTTACTAATAAATTCAAATATACAGGTTTTTATGAATACAGTTTATTACAACGTTAAGAATAAACATTTAAGTTATATTAAATTTGCAAATACTTCAAATTTGATTTTACAAGCTATAACATAAAGAATTTATATACGATATAAAATAATATATTTCAATAAATATAATAAACTGCGGAATTCTCATATAACATCACGGTACATACTAACCTCCAGGCCAAGCAAGACAATGAATTTTAAAAATGATAAGCCATAAGTGCAAGCGTACCATATTTTGGTTCACATCTTAAGACCAATATCATATTTTCAATATAATCAAGAACTACCTCTGTCACAAAGCAGTATGATTGATACCTTGTTGTTGATGTTGTAACCCGCCAGGATCTAAAGATTATAAGACGAATACATGAGTAAGAAAGTAATTGGATGAAGTTAGAGTTAAGAAATAATGGGAAGGGGAAAGTTCCAAGAACAGCCGGGTTTACGTCCCGGAGCCACTTTTCAAAGACGACCAAGTACCGTTCAACATACCTTAAAGGCGGTCACACAAGCAGGTATATGTTTGTTTGACATTTGTCGTATATATTGTTACCTTTGCAAATGTCTTTGCAATTTCATGTCCAGAAAAAATTGAACAAAAAAAACTGAAACGAGTTTTCAAAACGAAATAAACTCTGTAGCTAAATGAATGAAGAAGTGCATCCTTAAATGAAATAGAAGCAAATTAATATAAGTAAACTTTACAAACAAGAAGAAAAAATTGATTACAAACCTCTGATGATATTATACAAGCGCATCCTATATGCTACTTTAGCCAAATAATAGTATTGCCGTCATGTTAAGTAGCACTGCAAAAATTATTAAATATGAATTCGATGATTTAACAAATATTAAATCGATTACTATATTAACTAATACTAAACCTGGCTTGTTCTTACGGAATAATGTAGTTGTGCCAGCGAAGAACACATTAAAATCATTCAACATTTGTACAAAAAAATGCTTACTGCCATAGTAAATATATCGCTGTGTATGAGGAAGGCTAAACTCAAGTTCAAGTTAAATATAATCACATAGGGAATAAAAAACAAGAAAGAACCCAAAAGACAGGAATCTTAAAAACTTATTATTATGAAATACAACTTTTATATACAAACTGCACTAGCTGAAGAGCTATCAGGCATCATACTTTTATTGTTAAAAACTTTATCTTATAAAACAATATCGCTAATGACCTTCCGTCACATTAATATTAAAATTTGTATTTTGCAGCGGTACGCCCATACATGGGCGAAAGAACAACCAGAAAATGAGCTAGGTTAGGTTGGAGTTGCAGACTTGTGAGAAAGTGAGCTAACATAAAACTTTCAAGGGAAATTAAATATTAATGCTAAAAAAATATAATTGGTAATCTGCTTGTAATTACGCAATATTAGTTAATTCCAGAGAATAAGGAAACTGTATTATCATTTCTAAGTACATAGTTGTGTTAAACCACCAAATTCTGTATGTTTAAATCCTTGAAGTGGTAATGAGGCAAGCACTCAAACTCTCAAAGTCAACTTAAATAACTACTTTTTCAAAGAAATAAAATTATGATATGATTGAACACTATATACAAGAATAAGATATAGACCAAATGGAAGAAATATTAAAACAAACTTTTTTATAATCAAGAACTGTAAATTCTTTGGTGCACTATAATTATGGAAAAACAAACATTGGTGTGTCAAACGGACATGTAAAAAAAATATGAAATAAAGTAGTTGACTCACTATTTCGGATTCTCTTAATAAGTACGCAATAAATTTGGTTTAAAAACAAAGATATAACGTCAGTATAAAAACTTACTATAAACTTAATGCTAACGAAGTTTACGTTGGATGCTTTCAGACAGAAATTATGATCTTTCATTATTAATTCATATCTGCATATTTTTAGTATATGACACTTTAATTCCATTTAACAGCGGCCTAAAAATATTAAGTTATGTAAAAAACAATTACGGGTTAATATATATACATACTATTACATTTAAACATTTGTTAAAGTAATATTTAACAAATAATTTACTTTTTTTGTACAATTCAAACTCCAGTGAAACTGATTGCATATCCAATTTTCGCTCTTATACGCAGCACCAATTGATTTAAAGAAAAATTGTATAAATGATTTGCCATTTTGTTGAAATCCAAAAACAATATTATTTGAATATAATATTTTATTCCAAACAATTTAAAAACAAATTGCCAATTTTGTGTTTTTGCGTAGTTACGCGCGGTAAGTCAACTGTCAAAAGCAATGAATGTAGTAATAAAGTAGATACGAAACTCGGTGTCTTGTTTTCTCTAAGAAATTATTTGTATAAAAATGCATTTATACTATAAGAAGTAAGGCAAATATTTTGTCGATATTATATTAAAAATTGCAAGTAAATGTATCAAACAAAACAAAGTTTGATGTTATTAACAATAATTTCAAAAGCATTATCATTGCTATATAATATTCTCATAATTTCATGTACTACATTAGATCTAAAAATCTACTAAAAACAATCAGAAATTTGGGTAAAGCAGGTGCGAAGCTCAACAAATAGCATATTGGACTATTTCGAAGAATCTCAAAATCAACAAATCGCTTCCTGATATATTGACGCCACAGTTGTGATCTGTTAAATATTATATTTCCACAATTAACAAGCCTTACGTCTGTGCGTCAAATTCAAGAGAAACAAAATTTTGTATAAATTCTAATATATATTAAAAATTTAAAATGAAACATGAATTAATATTCATGCCCCAATAAGTATAAGATTGTTAGCAACTGAAATGTTAAAAAATTCGATGAACTTTTTTAATACCCTTTCTTCATTCTTAAAAATATTAATTCATTTAATTAAGCAATATAATACTCACTATTTATCAAATTTTCAATTTTTGCGAAAGCTAATATGTACTGCCTTTATATCATCCATTATTATTACAACTGTCTATGGTGAACAAGTGGTTTTAAATATTATACATTAAGACTGAAAAGTTTTCGGAAATTCTCATTTAAAATTCGCGCGCTGTATATTTTTCGATATTTTAAGTTTATGTAGTTTGGCAGCACTGTCCTTAATTACTATGCCAAAAATGAGCTCGATCTGTCAGACAGTTCGTTTACGGCAGCTGTTGAAACCAGTTCACCTCAGTAGTGCGTTGCGAAATGTCTTCGACGGTCGTACGACCGTCCTGGAAGGCTTTGTACCACTCATAAACTTGAGTTTTCGATAAAACTGATTCCCCATAAGCCTTTTGTAGCATTCGCAACGATTCTGCACACGAAATTTCGTTCGAAACACAAAATTTGATGCAAACTCTTTGTTCAATATTTTTTTCCATTGTTTTTTTCGCAACGCCCTACTGAGGTGAACTGGTTTCAACAGCTGCCGTAAACGAACTGTCTGACAGATCGCGCTCATTTTTGGCATAGTAATTAAGGACAGTGCTGCCAAACTACATAAACTTAAAATATCGAAAAACATACAGCGCGCGAATTTTAAATGAGAATTTCCGAAAACTTTTCGGTCTTAATGTATGTGATATTATATACGCCGTGTGCTAGTTCAAGTAAACTGATTTTAAATTGAGGGAAATAGTAAATTATGTCGACATGGCAGTAAATGTTGATATTTATTTATTTAGTTTTTAAATGTATTTATTTATTTATTAAACATTTTATAAAATTTTCACAATGGTAATACCCAGTTTACGTAATTTTTAACTAATTTACCCCACTCGTAATTCTGGTAAATACCAACATTCGTTGCCATACTTAGATATAAATTAGGTCAATTAGGTGTTACCATTGTGAAAATTCTATACGATGTTTAATAAATAAATAAATAAATTTGAAAACTTTTACCTAAAAGTAATAAATAAGTGCAATAAATATTTACACAAGTGCAGTGCAAAAAATCTCTAGGCAAATCTCTTTAATCGAACTCGCATATGGGTATACTACATAGCTCTAAACCATTTCTTATGCGTTTCAATTTTTACTAACATATCTTTAAGGTTGACTCTTTCATTCTTAAACAGTTTATACGGTGTTTCGGTGTTAATACAGGTAGCATTATATTATTTTATTTCTCAATACAAAGGTTGAGTAAGGAAGGAGAAAGCAACATTAAGCGTATTGTATTAAAAGTAATGGAAATAAATGCTAAAGTTTTTGAGTAGGAAATAAATTAATTGAAATGAGATAGATAAGAGAAACGCGCGCGTATAATGTATTTAACTATCATTTGGATCAAGGATCACTGATCTTCCAACCTTGGTTCAGCAGACGTAAAACTCTATTGGGCTCAGTTTTGTTCGTGTTTTAGGATGATTTAACATAAGATGGACGTTGTAAGCTATAGAGCTGCAATCTGAAGCGGAAATCGCTACGTCTTGAAGTTACTCGCTGTATTCAACCAAAAAGAATAACTCACCATTTTTGACAAAGCTCCATCTCGTTTAATTTTTTATTAAGGTGCTCAGTCCAAAGGCTGATAATCACTTCTTTCTTTGCTACAGAATCTTGTGTTTTTGTTTTTTGTTTTACAAACGTTAAGTCTTAGTTGGAAGCAAACTAGTTACAGTAATTCCGTTTTTTTTTTGGGACTTTGTGTTGTTATATACACAGTACATAATATATACATATATAACAACAATAGCACCACCAACATATATTTTTCTCTCGCATATTTATCTAAACTTTTATTATTTAATTATAATTATTTACAGATATTCTGCAAAATACTAGTAGGAAAGCGTCGATCATATAGATTCTATGAATTCGATATGAATATTTCGCTTCCAATCGCTTAGTTCAGTTCCAATCACTTTACACGTGAATTTTATTCAACTACAGCTTAACCTCAACATCGCATAGAAGAGACAGATTTTATGAACGTGAAAAATCATGATCAATAAAAGTTGACAACCAAATGTTTAACTTTTACAGACTACTTTAAGCTAGCTCTTCAGTGGACTGCTTCATATACTGGGAAGACTCTCAATATTGAATGAACTGTGAAGGTTAAATACAAGCTAGAAGATTAATCAACCAACATTAAGCACTTTCTAATATGTTTTATGTTTTATTTTCTATGTTTTATTTGTAGTTACTTAACACTTGTTAAATACATTGTGAATATTTTACAGTTTTAATTATACTGTAAATATTGAGATATTCTAGAAAAATTTAAAAGAATTTCTCATTATTTTTACATAAATCTTTTGAACAAGTTTAATGTTTATAACTCATAAAATTACAAAATTATTTGTATTTTAATTTGCAAAATGTTTAATAGCTCGATTTTCTCCTCAAAAAAAAAAACAGCTGAGCTGAATGACACATAGGCGTCAGTGTAAAACTTTGTGTAATACCAATGGGCGGAAACTAAATTATACTGTAGTGTTTACTACTGTAGTGTTTACTACTGTAGTGTTTACTACTGTAGTGTTTACTACTGTAGTGTTTATTACTGTAGTGTTTACTACTGTAGTGTTTATTACTGTAGTGTTTATTACTGTAGTGTTTACTACTGTAATTCTCGACCCCATTGGTATAACAGAGTTAACTATTGACATAATATTTGGAAAAAAAAACTTTACTTAATGCAAATTTCATTACATTATTATTGATTATTTGGTGAAATCTCAAATGAAGTCTCTTTTTATTTAACCACGTAAGTTAAATTTAATTTTTCATTGTGAATTGAATCAAGTAATAATTTGTGTTATTTCAAAGTAATTGAATGTAATTGAATGAACTATGTAATTTAGTAATTACATAAAATTTTAAGTAATTAAATATATAATTATGTTACTAATTATATAATCGCGTAATTAATTGATAGAAAAAAAATTAAAAAAATTAAGACTATTTTAGCCTTACAAAAAGTATAAATTTCTATCATGCAATTGAGAGGGTGAACAATGTATGCTTTCAGCAACTAAATAAGCTAACTTATGCGCATACTGACAAACAGCCGGGACACGACAGGTACCTGTGTAGTTGTAGTATAAGTGTGACATTTTATAAGTCAACATTTGAATACGATCTGGTGTGAGACCCATGGTATCATAAATTACATTATAACTCGTAGGAGAAACTGTACCCTGGCGTACACTTTGCGAAACTATGAAGAAATCATAACGTTCCGGCAATGTTATAACATCATCGACGACTGTTCCTGGTGGTGGATTATTATTTTTAATGAACAAACGGGTATTTAAACGTTTGGAAACAATTATGAAAGCTAAACGTTCATGTTTTCCAGCCGCTTCATAGATTTCCTGTGCCTTCATTCGTAAATGGTTAAGCTCAGTATTTACTACTTGATGCAGTTGACCATCGCCGACACCATCACGATAAAATACAATGCGTTCAGGCAAAGTTCCATGTTCGTCTTTGTATGCTTTTAAAGCAAATGTAAAGTGAAGTATTATATCATTTGAGAGCTCTTGGAATTTTTGGTGCTTACTAACAGCCGAAAAATATCTTGATGAACTGCGCACATCCATTGTGGCAACAAGGGCGCTATAGGATGTATTCTTATCCTTAGATGAATGACACACATCAAATCCAATTGTCATCAGACCTTTGAGTGGTAGATCAATCATCCATGGTATACCGCGTAGTTTAGCGTTCATTTGTATGACAACTTTAGTTGCAATTGACATCAAACCAGCTCCTTTTTCTGAAGTAGGTGCTATCATTTTCATAGTAACTATTTGTGATGCAACCGGACGATCAATGCAACACTTCTTTTTAATAACAGAGTACCTGAAACATATTATAATAATGAAAGTATATAGAAATATGTATATTATATATTTACTTTTCCTCGTTGGGTTGTTGAATAACAATCATTAAAATTTGAGGATCCTCTGATGTGGCCATTTCAACTGCAGTTGTATAAGAGTTATTACGATCGTCATCCATTTCAATGCTATATAAGTTAAAAACAAACAAAGGTTAATTATTTCTATAAGACAATTTCTTGTTAAACTATTAATGCGCACTGAGCAGCTGCATATGATAAAGTTTAAATTACGATCTGAAGGTGAATAATCTGATTTTTTTATAACGTAAAGGATATTAAATATATCTTTCATGGCCGTTGAATTTTGAAAGTTATGAGATATGATCTCGAATTTATCTTCAATCCTTATTTCATTCCCTACTTGAGGGAATGAGTTGAGGGCATACTTTGATATGTCACTGTAGTTTCGGGCTTGAGGTACATTGTTAAATGGTTTTTAAGTTATAGAGTGTCAAGGATGTAGACAAGAATGGCTCCGTTAATGAAGCAATAGTAAGTTTTTCTCGAACTATTGTAGAAGCAACAAAACAAATTTTACTGCCGCCCATTTCAAGCCCACAACATTAAGAAAATTTGCATATTATCAAGCTTGTCTTCATTTTTAGACTTCTCTTACAATGTTCATTCCCTCGACAAATACAACTAAACATTGCAGTTTCTTGCAATATTACTACCACGGAAACAATTGACTTGATAAACATATATATCATATGACATATATAAGGAGTTTTATGTTTTAATAATCTATATATAAGTAGTTTTGACGTTTAAATACTTATTGTCAGTCTTTAAGAAAAAACATAAATTTAAATACATAAATAAATTCAATGTATTTAAAAAAATATTAATACCTTTTCTTCTTTAATATTAAATGATACAATTTATCTTATAAGTACTTACTATTTTGGTGTGGCTAATGCCAAACCCATGTTCCTTGCTACTTTGATACACATTTGAACAAACAATTTAGTTTCACGACAACAACGTGATGGGAGGATTACTTGCCAGCGACTTATTTCGGCATTACAAAACATTGAACTCTTGCGGAACTCACGGGTCCAGTTAGCTTTCTCATCACATACATACCGAACACCATGACCTAGTAAAATTTGTTCATGCGGTAATATACGTGCTGGAATTTTAAGTAAGTCCTTATCCAATTTCATATTCCACTCTTCAAGAACCTCTGTACTTTTAGCAGAAGAATTGAGACGTTCGTTGAAATTTCTCAAGCGTTGAATTCTCATTTCTGGATTGAGCCGAGTATAATCGCTCATCGATTTCATTAAACTAAAATAAAATATCAAAGGAATAACAGTTCATTTGTTGTTATAACAGAAAAAATATTACTTACCGAACGTTTGTTCTCATATGATCAGTAATACCAGTTGCACGCGTGAACTCAGGAATCAATGAGATGAATTCTTCTTGGCCACCACGTATATTCTTATTGGTTGGTTTCGATATTAACATTGGTTGACTGGTGTCGGTTATGATTAGATTATAACGCTACAAATATTGGAACATTTCAAAGGTGCATTAGTATATATGTACTATAAAAATGTGTATATATCTAATATCTTTTATAGTAGAGTATCATTCTCAATTCTAACATAATACTATATCATTTATTTGCTTAAATAAATAAAAATTATAATAATTAATGAATAATTATAATAATTATTAAATATTAATAACAATAATTAATACTAAAAAGAGAATAATAAGAACAATAATTATTAATAATATTGGTAATTATTAATAACACTAACAATAATTATTAATAAAAATAGTAACAATAATAAATAATAATAATAATAGTGATAATAAATGATAATGATAATTAATAATAATAACGATAATCAATGATAATTATTATTATTAATAATAAAAAATGATTATCGGTGATAATGATAATTAATAATAAAAATGGTAATCAGAGACATGATAATTAATAGTAACAATGATAATCAGTGATAATGATAATTAATAAAAATAATATCGGAATAATTCGGATGCAGAGCTATAATTTACTTATGTGAACTAATATGCTATCAACGCTTTAAATAAATTTTCTGTTACTTTTATTTCAGTTATTTCAGTTAATTAGTTAATTAGCTAATTAGTCACTAAAAAAATAATGTGGTGAAAAAAATGAATCAATCCAACAAAAAAAGGAAATAATACTCTTTGCTAGTAGGTCTAAAATTCCTTTCTTTTTCTTAATCAAGACAAAAAATAGCTTAAACACGAATATGTGGGTCTCATACTCAACTCTAAACTTAACTACTGGAAGGCTAATTTGGTTGAAAGAGTCCGTAAAGCAAGGATTGGGTCTTCAATTTCAATCTCTGGCTTTATACATTTATGGCTGAATTCTTTTTTACGGGGCAGTTTTTTGATGGCATGGTAATTGATAAAACAGTCTCGAAAAGCTCCTTTTGGACGCATGTGATAGAAAAGTTTGTTGTGTTCAAATGAGCTTTTTAAAAATTATAAATAAATTTTGTTTCTTTAGATACCTATATAATATAGTTATGTCTTCTAATATTATACACTATCAAACTACATTATGCTTTATTATACCTAGTATATTATACTATTCAATGTTATACAATTGTATATATATAAATTATATATATAAATTGTATATATAACTTATATATATAAATTATGTATACACTTATATACATAAATAAATTACATATATAAATTTTATATGAAATTTATATATATAATTTATGTGTTTAATTTATATATGTATTTAGATACAATTGTATAAAATTGAATAGTATAATAAATAATATAGTATATAATAGTATAATATAATATATTATATATATATAAATATATATATAAATATATAAATAAAAAAATATATAAATTATATATATATAAATTATATATAATTTTTTTTAATTTATAGCTATCAGCTTCCTATTGGTATAATAGTCGCAATAGTAGCTAATGATACTATATAATACTTGTACTACTTAACTACTGGTAAATTGCTAAGACGGATTATAATAAATTATTTAAAGATTGGGAACTATTTGTTGATAATTACAAATATATTTATATAATAATAGGTAATTGGTTTTATTTATATTTATAATTGTATATATTTAAAACCTAAACTTACCGATTTAAAATATTCAGCAAATGAAACTTGTTTATCTTTCAATGAAAATGTCGATAGAGGAGAACTCTTAAAATCAACATCAGTTATACGATAAGTCTTATTGTTATAATCAGTTAAAGCGATAGAACCTAAAATAAAATAAGATCCATATATTCAGATGTATACATACATTATTTCTGTTGCTTACCAATAACTTCATTCTTAAAAGCTTTTTGATAGTCTTTAGTTTCGACCGTTAGTTGACGAAGTATGGTGTAAAGTGTATCGTTGCGCATAACTTTATGTGTAATCTCAGCGCAAAGAAGAATATCGCGCTCATGTTGACGAATGGATGTAATATAACCTGGCCAGATTTCAATATGATACGGATCCATGCTAATCTGCAAGTATACATATTATGTTTGAAATAAATATATTTATATATGATATATGATGTTTATTTTAAAATTTACATATTGAATATAAATATATAGTAAATATATAGCTCTTATGTTAAATACTCTGCTACAGTTTGATTTTTAAAATATTGTACTTTAAAGTTAACTTTTTGGATTAATCACAAAGAATTAATTTTTTTTCGTGTCAATAATTTTTCTAATTTATGTAGCCAGTTAGTCAATTAGGCAACACAAATGACTCTTTGACCTCACTAAATAATAAAACCTTAGTGTAAACATTTATAATTGATCAAACTAAAAGTTCTTGTTAGTCCTAAAAATATTTAATAGTTGCAATATTACAAAAAAAATTGTTGTCACATACCTTAGCATAAGGATCAAAAAAGTGACGAGCTATTTGTTGCAAATCCAGTCCACCCATTGATTGACGTAAGATTAAATTCAATACTTGGAACAGTTGAGCCTCATTTGCATCGACAATACCAACATGTTTAATTTTAATAAGCACCTTCTTTCCATCACGATACTCAGATGTTAGATATAATTCATGATGATGCCTAGCCCCTCTTAAATCATTAGTAGTAAAAAGCATTGTGCCATCAAATATATATCCACCAAATTTTTCCTTATGTTCCATAATTAATTTACGACGAACGTGGTTTACATCAATTTCCGGTACAAAATCTACTCTATATTGATGTATGTTCCATTTTGGTTTTTTTAAGATCTTGAAATAATTTGTATTAACTAGAACATGGCGCCCAGTTTCACCCATTTTGGAAACACAGGCTTGTGGCCGTGTAAACAATAAATCCAACAACGGTGCATGCGCGCCACCACGATTACATTCACCTAATGTGAACAAACAAAATTATGTATAAATTTAAATGTAAATAAAAAGAAAATTATGTTAAATATAGTATTTTATTTATATTCTTATAAAATATTGCAATAAAAATAATATACATACCACGTTCTCCATGCTCTTTGTCTGGAACTATTTTGAAAGAAAAAATTTAAGAAATAATTGGTAAAATGTTTAACTTAAAAATATATTTATATCAAAATTACCTCTCGGCTTAGCAGCAACAACACCAACACCAACACCAACTATAATAAATAATAAAAAAAATCATTTAATGAATTTAAAAAAAAAATACATAAAAGTGTGAACATTACGATTAGCTATGGGATTTTCAATTTGAGTACAACCAGATGTTGAAATTGCTGCAGATATTATGGCACGACCAAGCAAATTTGGTGCTTATATAGAAAAATAAAAATTAGAATATATTTAATACTTATTTTGGTTAAAATAAATGTACTAAAAATAAATAACATATATCGTATCTTCATACCGGTAACATTAGAGTCCGGTTTTGCAGCCTGGGGTGATGCTAATATTGCCCTCGGACGAACAGAAATTGAACCGCCGCGTGGCTTAAAGGTATTAGCAACTGCTGATGGACTATAACGTATGCCAACAACAGATGGTGGAAGCCTTGGTCGAAAAGACATCTATAATAAAATTTGATAATTATTGTGGTTCATAATTATTAGGTTTATTGGAGGTGTTTATATATTTATTTAATATATTTTTATTATAAAATATTTTAATTATATATATTTTTCAATTTTGTTTTTTTCAAACTGTTTGAAAGTAATAATGAAATACTAACCCTGGGACCCGTAAAGGTCGAGACAGGACGAATACCAACTTTTCCAATGAGTTGAGGATAAGGAACGCGAACGCGTGGTCTTGCACCTGGTTGATTAGACATATTTACGTATATAGCTATATGATAAAGAAGAAAATATTTATTTTTTTAACAACAAAAAAAATTGAATGAGAGATAATGTGATGTGATGAGTATGGATTAGATGTAAGATATTTATATAGAACTCAATCTACAATAATATTCTATATATTCATATTCATTTATATATAATGATTATATATGTTTTATAATAAAATGTTTTAATTTTATATATAATTTTTTGGTTAATTGTTTAATATTATAGTAAATAATTCAATTATATTATGAAACAAAAAATAAATTTGAATTATTCCAAATTTTTGCTTTTATATTGAAAAATGAACACAAAAATTATATATAATTGTACATAAATATATAACAATGTTTTAAGGTTCATGTATAAAATATTTGCATTTAAATATATTAAATTTTTATACATTATATTTAATGTTTAAATAAAATGTTTAATAAAATGTTGAAATTTCAATTCTTAAAAAAGTACATAAAATCCTTACATAAAAGCATTTTACTTACCAATTTATATTTTACATAAGTAATATATAAGCATAAGTAAATATATATTATTTATATATATATCTTCTTAGTTAGTAATTATTTATTTTTTTAAATTATTAATTTTATTAAGTTATTTTAAAAAAATTATTATATTAATATTAATATATTAATATTAATAACTTAAAATTAAAATTTAAAAGTTGAAATAATTATAACATTAATAAATAAATATTTATTCCATTGATGTACAATTATGTAAATATATGTTTTACAAATCAAAACTGTTTTTATAATATTTTGAATAGTTATATTTATAAACATTTAAATTATAAAAATTAGGTTATTTAAATTATAAATAAAAATAAAAAAATTTTTTAATTATATTTTTCTAGACTATTAAGTGAATTTATTTTTTATTCAAAACAAAACAAAACAAAAAACATTTAAATTTGAATTAAAAATGGATTATTTATAGGATACAGAATAAAATAAGTGCAATATATTATCTTAAATTGTATATTCCAATGCTATTATTAATAGTTATAACAAATTTGATTAAAATTTTATGTGCTAATAAGCAATTAACAAATAAAAAGATATTTATTAAAATATATTTTTCAGTCACAATACTGATTTTGTTAACTAAATATGAAGACTTATTGATATTTTTATAACGTTATTCCACACGATTGGTTTGCCATAAAATCTTCAGGGTACAGAGGGTGAAGTAGAGAAAATTCACAATCGATCTGTCAAATTCGAGTTAAGGTCAGTGGTTCTAATTAGAAATAACTGGAAAGCTTATATAGATACGCTAAACTTCTAATAGAATTTTGAATTAACTTAGATTTATATTTAACTGTAATAAATATACTATTGGTTTTTTTGGAAACAAATCTTATAATTCTATTGAGATTTATGCCTGCAATAACAATAAAATGAGAACCAAACTATATTTAAACAAAAAAATTAAGAACAGAACTTTAGATGCCTCTTATTTTTTCTAGTGTTTGAATATTGAGTAGGTCAAAAAAAAAATTAAAAAAAAAAATTAAAAAAAAAATTTAAAAAAAAATTAAAAAAAAAAAATTAAAAAAAAAAAATTCAAAAACCCTCTAAATTTTAATAAAGCTTCTTTGTCACCATACAAAGAAAGTCTAGCTTTACAGCAACACGAATACTTTATTCAAAAAAAAAATTAAAAAAAAAAAATTTTAAAAAAATGGAGATTTAAACATACCATATTAAACCAGAAAAGGAAAAAATCATTAAATGCTACGCAACCCTTTTTTGATAAAGTTTTAAATATTGAGTTTGTCATAAAGAAGTAATATAAAATATATATTTTAATTTGTTCTAATGAGAAAATATATATTATTGGGAATATATAATATATATAAATTTTTTTTTAAAAAAATATGTTTAAAAAATAATAAGTGTTTGTATAAATAAAACCCGTTTTCTTTCTTATAGGAATTGAAATTTTTTTTCATCTCGAATCTTCTACTCACAAAATATTACAGTAATTTAAGAAAGCAAGACACTAATTTTAAATAACGAAAAAGTTAGATGTGATACTTAATATTATTAAATATATTTAAAATACCTTAAATCAATTAACCAAATCCTTAAATCAATTAATATATTAATATTAATTAAAAATTGAACTGTTACAGAGATATTTTTCAATGTTCACTTCACGATTGAAAACTAACGAATGTAGAATTTTTTCATTTATGTCAAACATTTAATTTGAAAAGATTTTTCACTTTAAGATAAAGGCATTACCAGGCATAAAAAATTTAATTACTGCAGTTTACATTACGCAAAGAGAAGTGGGTAAGTTTGTAAAAATTTTCACAAGAATTGTATCAATATACATTTAATATACAAATAATTTAATTTATTAAAAATTGTATATATAAGTAATGTATATGCAAGTAATTTATATATAAATAATTATTATACAAAGAGAAAACATAAAAATACACTTTAAAAAGAAAATACTTGTAATTTATAGAACGTTAATTTATATACATTGCGTATATATATGCAATATATAATCAAATATAATGGTAATTATAATATAATATTTTAAATAAATGTTGCAGTTGGATTATAATATAATTAAGTCACAAATTATTATTAGAAAATTTGTGAAAAAACATATACAACGCGTGTAGCTCTTAAGAATAAAAATATAACAAAAAAGATTGAAGTGAAAAAAAAAACTTTATTTTTTAAATGTTATATTATTTGTTGGTGAATTTTTGTGTTGTAATGATTAAAAAAAAAAAGGAAATTGCTTAAAAGAAATTGGTTAAACAAAATTGCACAATTCATCCATTTCGGACGAAAAATTCCCATAAAAGGTCATATTTATGGTCCACAAATTTTATTACTGTAGACAAAGTTTTTTTTATAAGTTTCCTGTAAATTTTTCGTACAAAATTGATGTTAGCACTAGGCGGCTTTTCTTAAAAAAAAATATTTATTAACCGATAATTAATAGTAATTAAAAATCAGTAAAACTAAATTTGTATTTTCTATTTTTCTCTAAATCGACCGGATAAAAATTGACCAGGAAGTTAGTCTTTATATAACAAATCTTTTAATTCTTATTAAAATAATACATAATATAAAAAATGAATGTTATAAACAATAATTTAATATATATTTGATGTATACTTGCATTTATTCTTTCGGTTTTATTCACTTTATATATCTTATTGCTAACATTATTAGCTATAGTTGCAAATTGTTAGATGATTTAAATATATAAATACATACAAAAATTTATTTACTTAAAAAACTAATAATTGTTAATATTTTAATAAAAAAAAAATACAATAAAAGTAGAGGCTAATTTCGATATTTATTGAACATAAAAATAAAACACTGACTTCTGATACAACACAAGTCAGATAGGTAGTTTCATATAAGCACAAACTGACTTCATAGAAATATTCAACCATACATATAACAAAGATTTTTACTGAAAATTTTTGAAAAACACTTATTTGTGGAACACGAAAAACTTTAAAATATTAAAATTAAAATAAATTAATAACAGTAAAAAAAATTGTAACACAAGCGTTCACATGGTTGCCCATCTTACATTTGTTGTTGCTATCAAATTTTAAAGGCATGTTACGCAGGCGATAAAATCATCGATTAACACATCAATCAACTAATTTTAATTAATGTATATATATTAGATTTTTAACAAAGAAAAACACAAACGTCTCAACTTAATTACATTTCTACTTTCAATATTTATTTTTTGTACTTAATAAGCAACTATTTCACTTTAGCAATATTATTTGTTTAACAATAATAATCATTCACGGTTAGTAGAAAAATTAAGTTGCGCACACGAGAAATTGCGAAAACCAAAAAGCACATAACACACTAAACAACGAAAGGACAGATAATGGTAAAACAAAATGGCGGGAAGAAACAAAAAAACGAAATGATTCGGGAATTTACGATCAAAGCGAACTCTACACACTACACTAGTTGGGAAAATACTTTAAAATTGAAAAATATTGTAATATTATATTCGTATATATCAAACACTTCAATATTATCGAAAATTTATATTTTCTTTATGTTAAAAAATATATTTCTACCATATTAAATTAACGATTAAATAAGTGTTAAGTACTAAAGTAATTTAACATGCTTCATAGTGCAAAAGCACATTATGAAAACTGCATTTGTCCAGAAACTTATTATAATAATCAACTAATATAACATATCTACTTTATATATAGCATTACTATCATTTTAAATATATAATAATATCGTTTACCTGTAGATCAAGCTTTGAAAACTTCTTATATTTTTGTTAACAATCAGAATTAAATATTTCACTGAATCTAACACTTGCGAGCTGAACTTGCGCTGAAAGAACTCTGAAAAAGGAAGAAAATAATTAGCAAAGTTAGGTGCAATACGCACGAACATAGCCGAAAACTAACGAAGTAATTAAAATGCCGCGTTTTTTTTTCTTCTTCATAAAAATCAAAATGTCATTTTTACAATATTTAATAATTCACTATTCACTATGTATTAAATCATATATATAATTTCAATTAAATACTAATTTAATGAAATTCAAAGCAAAAATGAGCATCTCATAAAATAATTAACAATAAATACGTTAAACTTTTATTTTTTTTTTGAAATTTGAAAAAATTGTTGTGAAATTCTTTAAAACAACACTTGCAACAATAATTTTATCAATTTATTTTAAAACAATAATATTAGCACTACTGTCCATAAATTTAGTCACATATATTAAAACATTTGAAAAGTAATTTAAGATTCTAAATTTAATTCTAAGAATACACATTTTGAATCTATTAGGAGCATTTTTTAATAAAATTGCAAAAAGTTAAACATATATGAACATTTAATTTTAGCAAAACTTACATTAACTATAATTAATTGCTATTCACTTGCAACAATTAAAAATCTCCGCGGTAATATTCTTGGCCACTTGCCCTTCTAAAGTTCAGCCTCGAATGAACTAATAGAAGGCGCGATATTTTCTTGCAAGGAAATAGCGAATCAAGTGGATAAAAAACCGCATAAACGGAAATGAAAGTTTAATATGATATCTAGATATGACTCTTTTAATATTTGAAATAAAGAACTATTTAACATATATAATTAATATAACATTAAATTATAACAAAATATAACAATTAATATTTATTATAATAATAAAACAAATACATACATATATATATTATTCTTTATATAATTTTTATAAAAATAAAAAAATTAATAAATATATATATTCCGCTCACCTTTAATAATATAGAAAATTTATTTTAACTTGACAAAAGTGACTTGACAAACAAAAGATTGAATGAGAACTTATATACAATTGCGATAAAGGAATGAACTTAATATTTCAAATAATGACATTACCAAACTTGACCTAAAATCTATGTACAAAATATCACAATAGACGTACAATAGATTTTATCCATTACACTGTTGTGGAGGGTCCATATTTTGTCGCAAAGCAAAAGTATTATACATTATATAAATAATATCACAACATACATATATTATCCTTCAATAATAGAAACTACTTTCTTCTTCTAAATAAACATTTCCTTGTGTTTAATTTAATTTATTGGCCCTAGTCGTAGGATAAAAATATTATTTTGAGTAAAATTTTAAGTTTACACGGTGACATCAAACTGATTTTAACTTTTATTTTGATAAGACTATAGTGATTACTCAAAGTTGCCACACAAAATTTATTTAAAGATACACGAAATTTAGTATAAATATATTTTTTAAAGCCGTTAAGACTGAATTTGTTGTGCCGCAAGCAATCAGCTGATTCGTTTTACCTAATATAATATACACTACGTTTACGCGAGCCTTAAAATCATTTTTGAAATTGATTTTAAAAATAGTTTTTAGAGCTTTTACACAAAAGACTTTAACGCACTTTTAAAGTAGCTGTCAATCAGTCAGCCGTTAAACGATAAAGAAAAATGATGATTTTAAACATTTTCAAGTGGATAGAATAAAACTGCAAATTATTTTTCTATTATTGCAAAAGAAAGATATCATAATCAAAATAGTACAACAAAAAAATAGAACAACAATGTATAAAATTAATAAAATTAAGAAAAATGCGTTTACAACTCTTTAATAAAATAACAATACTCAAACGCTTTTTTTTGTATCACTTATAAATTTACAAACTGATTTTAAGTATATGTTTCAAACATATATTTATTGTAAAGTATAGATCTATATAATTTTATAAACAGATTTAATTTATTGATTGATGAATATAATTTTTATTTTAACCAATTTTCCTCATTAATATTACCAAACATATATAATATACTAAAATGAAAAATAGTTATAATCCTTTTGTGAAATGTATGCAATAAGGAATAATACTGCAGCCCTAAAAGAGCGAAATTTGACATAAGCTAGGTGAAATAACATGCATTGAATACGTGTAACCAAAATATTAGGGGTATTCAGGCAACTGATTAGTTGCTTAGTAGTTGATTACAACAAAAATTTGCACACAAAAATGAAACTAAGCAGGGAATCAACTATTTCGGTGATTTTCAGATTAGTACAAATTTGATTAATAGTGCTGCCAGTCCCAAGTGTCGTAATAATAACTTAAAATGAACTTTTGTATAGAAATTTGTTAGCTATCTCTCTCAGCTGTTTGAATTGTGTGTAAACAATTTTCACTGTTAACATATGTTTCGCTTTTGCTGTTAATGCGAGTGCTGCCGAGGTATTTACACACAACAAAATAATCAGATTACGCATTTTGGGTCGTTCAAGCAACTGATTAACATCAAAATGCTAAATTTTTTTTATATGAAGTTTTTGAATCAATTAAGCAACTAATCAGTTGCCTGAATACCCCTATTATAAAAAATGAATTTTCGGCAAAAATTTCTCACGTAATTCTCAGAGAGCAAAGAGTTTCTTTTCTTTTAGGGCCATGTTATGCAGAGTGTCTCGGGCACGGCAAAATTCGCTCTTTCGGGCTATGCCGAAAATGTATATTATGCAGAGTGGTCACATCAGTATTGCCAATTTTGTATTTTGACTACTTCTTGATACTTCTTGGTTGTGCCTAAATATAAAAGGAAATTTAGATATGCTCACTTTCAATTTGCCACCAAAAATAGCTAGCAAGAAAAAACTCATAGAGGCTGTTATAATGTTAATTTATTATTATATTATCTCACAATAATTGTTAACAATACGCCGGCTCTCGTGACGAAGTTTGAACGGTCATATTATTATTGAAAACAACAACAATTGTACTCATGCCGTGCCCGAGACACTCTACATGATATGGCCCTTAGGCTCGTGTTATGAAGAGTGTCACCGGTACTTCAAAATCAAAATTTGTCGTTGCTTTCAATGCAAACTAAAAAACTGTGAATTATAGTAAAGAACAAATGTCAGTTTAAATTCGGTCATGAAAGCTGAGACTATTTGAGCCTGATAACTCAGTCAAAGCCTTATTGTATGTATGTTTGTATATATTTCCTTTAAATTTTAGGCACAACCAAAAAGTACAAAAGCAATAGTAAAAGTAAATACGAAATTTGCAAACTGATGTAAAACTCTGTATGTTATACAGAGCATTTTCATTATAGTCCGAAAGAGCCACTTTTGACGTGCCCGTGACACTCTACATAACAAGGGTTACGTTATGTTTGCAGTCAAAGTCACACAATTGTTATTGCTTTCTATGCAAAGTGGAAATTTTACACTGGCTGCATTGAAAGCAACAACACTTTCCGTAACGTGACTACATAAATAACATGCCCCTTATCGTATTGGTATCATTTCTTTATGCAGTCTTGATTAGAAATATAATAACTCGTATGTTAGAGCAAGAGAAAAGTACTGTTATTTTAAATACAAATTAGGGAGTTTAGCAAGGGACTTGTTGGTAGCAATAGAGAGACTGCATACTTTGTTGGAATAATATAGGAAACATAAAAAGTATTCAACGTGGCTCGGTTACCAGAAAACTGATAAAATGTCAAACGTTGTTGTAATATTGAACTGTCAAACACTCTAATTTCGTTTGTCTTTGTTATGTCATACATGAAACAAACAAAATTACACATAAAAACTGGAAAAACTTCAATTAAAATTTAAGGTAAACTTTCATTTTAACATAAGCAATTTTTTTCTATTTATACACAATAATATCTTTAGTACTATTTTCACATACATATATCAACTTTCAATTAAATTTGAGATTTGTGCAACACTGCACAATATTAAGAATCAGCTGATGTTTAACCAACTATCGAAAAAATTATCGAATCTGATGGTGGGTAAGGCGGAGTTCCAAGGAATTCCACCGGTACCAATTAAAACTACACGTTCATAAATAAATATATATCTAATAAATTATATTCATGTTTTTTATTATAGTAAATTGTAATTACACTTTGATGCAAAGAAATCTACATAGCCCCTTAAATCAACTTAAAGAAGTAAGGATTCTGGTTGATATAAATATAGTACACAACTGTGAACCCTATCGTTAAGTATGGACATCATTCAAGCATAACACAATTAGTGACAAAAACTATAAAATATTTTGTAAAAACATAATATATGCATTCTAATAAAGATCATTTGTTTGTTCTTAAAACTACTTCGAACTAATTTATCACTTTTTTAAAAAATTTAATTAAGCATACAATTTACGGTAATTTTTAAAAAAAATACGTACTGGGCCTATTGCACTTAAAACTAAAATCACAAATGTTACAAATTTATATAACTTAATATTTACAAAATTACGTCGGAAGAAGCCAGTATTATAGCCCGTTAGTTGGGCTAACATAACTATAAGAAATGTTATAAGACCCAGGCCGTTATGTATAATTTTGTTCACTAACGGCGATATGTAGGAACGATAATCGGTTGAATAAAGCGCTAAGGTGCCAGCTAGAAAATTTACAGTACAAAAGAGGCAGGCCGCTAAACCTTAAATTTTAATTAAAATTAAAATCTTATTAGAATATATAGAGTTCTGATATTTTTGATTAATTTTACCTAACTTTCCATGAAGTGATTTAAAATGTTTCTTCTTTCCATAAACTTTTTGAAGAGTTCCCAATATGCCCAACAACCCACCAGTTAATTGTAAAACATAATGCAGTGTTGTTTTTGTGTCAGGATGCAAAGACCGCAATAGAATATTACCATTATAGCGTACCATCATACCCTCAGCCAACAGCAGAACGAACTGAAAGATATAAAATATTTAAAAATTGGTACTATTGGTATTAATTACAAGTATTAATGTTGTTATTAGTGCGAATGTCTATTATAAGATTAGCCCAATAGAAATTAGACTTTATACAAGTGTATAATTTACATATATGGGTATATTTGTTTTTCAGGATAGGTAAAAGCTAAGTTCTGAGATAAATGAAATTGTATTGAATATATCAATATATATATGAAAATGAGCCTAGTGGTCAGCCTACAGTGATAGTATTCCAGAATATATATAAATTTGACCAACTCGAAGAGTACTGCTAAGATAATCCCTATTAACAATATCTTCTTTCTCTAAGTATAGTAAACGTAAAAAGTATTAAAGTTGTTCAAAAAATATATACTATTACTAATAGATTCCTTAAGCTTTAGATGTTAATTTACTACATATACCAACAAAATTAACTTGCTTTAGAGACAATCAAGAAAGAACTCGCAGCATTATTTGTAGAGACTCTTCATAAGTCTAAAGGTAATATATGTAGATCAAATAATATATATAAAATAATACAAAAAATATTTAAAGCAATAATCTTGAAAGAATCGTTGCTATGCAATAGGCATTAAACAAGACAATTTCGGGTGTTCCAAACACAGAAGCATCTAAATCAGCTCAGATAAAACTTTAACAATAACAAACTGTGTCATAATATTCTAGAAGTCAGCCGTCACTTATCTTTGAACAATATCAATATTATTCTAATTTCTGAGACACAGTTAGCGCCTAAAAACTGCACTTATATACAAGGCTACTCTTTTTATGACACCAAACTGATCTTTTTATGATACTGGTTTTTTATTGGAAGTATAATGCGACATTATAAATTAGAGCAAGTTTCCGAAAAACAAATTCAAGCCATTACTATCTGCATACTTATGACCCAAATAGTTTTTAGCTAACAACTGAATATTTTACAAAATATTTTGATTACTTGGGACTGAAATTACTAGCAGCTAGAGATTTTTATGCTAAGCACACATTCTATGCAGCTCTAATTAAGCGACTCGAAGTTATATCAACTAGAAATTGTATATATTGACCGTCTGATATCATTAAAACTCTTGATTTGATCGATTTCGGTGTCATTAAGTATTTAAATGAGAGATATATCTCTGCTGATACATCGTATAATTTGTCTTGAGACCATTCCCCGATAATTCTAACACTAACAAATATTTTTGGAGGTGAAACATTTAATATTAAATCATTTTTTAACTGGCGTGACTTTGGTGGAGAAGTTGAAAGAACTCTACCTGAAATTTCTGTACGTCGCTACAACGATGAAATTGATGACCTAAATGACCCTGCTGCTGAGTCTACTATTGTTCAACATGATAGTGCAATTATTTCTTATGGAGAGCTGCAAAGAAATGTAAAGCCCCCATTCAAAGAGAACCTCCTATACGCAAACAGAATGGCACCTGTGCTCGTAGCGGTGAAGCAAAAATAACTACTCTGGTATTACAACAGCTTCTTATCAAAATAATTATCCAAAAATTTAAGCTAATAATAAAACTGATTTTGATTTCTACGCTATAGCGCTGAGACTTAGAAAGTCACAGATAACAGTAACTGAAAACCACAAAGATTTTTAAAGAAGTGCTTTAGAATCTATTAGACTTGACAAATAGCTTTCTATCTAAAATAATAAGTAATATTATATGTTATATGTTATATACCAACATATATGGATGTGTTCTTATATGTATGTGTGTGTATATCTGATACTTACCCCGAAAGTACAAACAAATGCATGAAAGGCAGTTTTCTCTAATTTTAATTTGAAACAAACCAAAGACATGGCTATTGTGACCATGACAATGAGTAGATGATCTATAAGGTTCAACGTAGAACCAAGTAGATTAAATGTTGCTACATAATTTTGAAACGCGGGATGCAGACTGCTTACAACTGGTATTTCTTTGCAGGAATCGATATCATCGAGTATGGAACAGCTTTGTTGTGACATAGTTACTTTTTTGTTGTTTAAATCAGTGGCTTATTGTAGTTGGAACTATTGACTGCAAAAATAGTTGAGATACATACGGATATATTAATATACTCGTAAATATAGTTTTAAATTGATAGTCGTAGGTAGGTAGTTTTTTTAAAATAAGCAACCTTAATGTGAAATCATTACTAGTTTTACGCGTTTATGCAATTGCAACACCTTGTAGTTCTTTTATTGATAGATTACTTTATCTTAACTAAACTAAGTTATTAGCAATCTTTCAGTTTTCAATATAGATATGTATATGTATATCTATTATCATAACATATATTGTCTTGCCATGGTTCCTTAAGTAATATATGTATGTAAACGAAATTAGCTTGAATAATTTCACAATTTTAGGAAGCCGCCAAAATTAATTCGATCGCTCTATTGATTTTAATAAAAAACTATTTTTTCGAAAAAAAATATTTTACTCATACCTTCACGAATATTTTTGTTCGTAGTTTTATTAAATATATTCACCGAATATTTTTAACTTAAATAATATCACAGAAAATTTTTAAAAAATAAATTAAAATTGTTGCTATGCACGCCGACAAATTAGCGTGTTAGCTGCTTGGAGATTAACGCACGACTGACTGGAAACTTATTCAAAATTATATCCGAAACAAAGCCTCAGTTCGGAAACCCAATAATATATACACATTCTAAGAAGACAGATACAGATTTTCCCCGCTACTTATGCAGTTTGTTGCTAATGTTTTGCTAACTAAATAACATTAGTAAGCACTTCGTATATAGACCATAAGAAGAAGCATTGTAAAGTAAACAATCACAAGAAAAACGAAACCAGAGACAGACAAAATAAAAATACAACCCAACAAAACACGAGGCAGCAAAAAAGCTCGAAAAAGTTTTCTTCTAAACCGATTTTGTCATAAACAAGTTTATTTGCCACTGAGATATGGAAGTGACGTCAAAATTAATGAAACACACTCATAGTACGAGGGATGTGATAAAAGTTTAGCAACTCCATATTCTGTATGGAAACTGTGCATTCCCAATAACCCTCACTGCAGAAATTGTGGAAACCCGCAGAAGAAAGAAACCATAATATATATTCTCTGTGAATGCCCGGCTTTGGTGTTCAGAATATATAGGTTCTAAGGAAAATACCTCTTTGATAGTGTATCAGACTGTTCATCGGTGAAGATAAAAGACCTATTAAATTAACTAAATTTGGAGGGATGGATTTAGTCTCTATTCTTCTATACTAGGGTTCTTATGGTAGCAAAACGGTGAAAAATCGAAACAAACCAACCAACCATATACTGTATAACACACATTATTATTATATTATGTTAAAACTGTTTTGAACTAGTGCACTTAAGCACTAATACTCTTTTTTAACTCGAAGTTTCTTCAAAACCCTTCTCTACACCTTGACTAGATTATTGTTTATCACTTCATCAGACTAAGCAATAATTGACCTCAGATCTGCATACCTCCCCGAGGTGCCTGTAACCATTCTGAGAATTGATAACGCGGTGTTGGTAAGTCTGTCAGATTTCGCAAATAATTTCAGGGCCTATCCTTTATGTATTTTTTGATGGGATCAATCTTGATGTCCCTGAGGATGTCATTCGTCCTAATGTACCATGGAACTTTGAAAAGTCTTCTCAGAGCTTGGTTTTGTGCAATTTCTAGCTTGTGAATAGTAGTGATTGAAGTTTTGCTAAACGCTACACATTATTATTATACAATATACATTATGATTCTAAATTAATATTAAAGCTCTATATTATAGCTACGTATATACTGCATAGCCTTCCTATATTATGTAGGATCTTACGCTATACAATATAAGTACAAAGAACTTTATAATTACAGACCAAATATGGCAAATTACATGTATGACATATATGACATGTTTCACATACTAAACTGAATAATTAATAAGTTTGCCATTCACTGTCCAACACAATCATCTTACTGAGTTAACACTGCTTTATAGGTAGGTACGACGACCGATTAGAGGCTCGTCCCAATGAGTATTAAAATTTCTATACGTTAAAGCAAAAAGACTAAAGTATAATGTACTTGATTTGTCTATACCCGACAATCACCAGATGATAGCATGTAATCGTTCTGAGGTATCCCTTCCACAAATGTCTATTTAATATCACCAACACAGGTATTTAAGGCATTGCAAATTTTAATAACGCCACAAAGTGGTTTCTCAGTTTAAATAGGGGTACCTTCACTTTGAATTTTTTTAGTTTTCAATATTTACTAATAAATAGAGAACTTTTAGCAATCGATATTCTCTTGTTATAGCTAAATAAATATTTATATATGTATATGTATAATATCTTGACTTTTTAAATATTTTTATTTATTATATTTAAACTAATGTAGAATTTAAATTAACAACATCTAGTCATATTAACTAACAATAAGTTTTTTAATTAGTATTACAAGTAAGTTTACTTAGCTAAGGTGAGCATATAGATCTGAGCTAGTTTTAAAATATGAAGCTAAAATATTTCATTAAAAACATAAAAAAACTTTCATAAAACATACATAAAGACTTTATTATTATACATAGAAAACTTTAGAAGCTACCCTCGGTTTACGTTCATAAAAAATGTATATTTGTGCTGGTAAATCCCCAAGAATTTCTCAATTAAATAAAAGCTTGTTTTTTTTTCAAACATTGTTATAATTATTATTAACTTTATATTAATCATAAAAAAAAAAAGTTTTTTTAAGCACTATAGGTAAAAACCTAAGCCAACATTAGTTGCAGTGTATACGCAACTACTTCTTCCTATTAATAGGAAGAAAACCTATGAAGTACAATATGATAATTGAGGTTCAAAATTAATTTTTATTAAAATTTTCATACACTTATCAACAGCCTAAACTATGCTTTAATAATAATACTAATTAAAAGTTAAATCTAATGAAACTATGTTATTTTAAAAGTGTTACTCTTCCCTGATTTGAGAAGGCATTAGTTCGTTGTAATTTTTTAAGTTTTCTACGTTAAAAAGTTGACTTCTAAGGTCACCCATACCGTAGTTTTGGAGTAAGATATTATTCACCTTGATTAATTTTCCTTTTATTGTTTTAGTTCTTTAATTTAAACTTGAGGTGAATACAAAAGAGAACACTCAAAAGGAATGATTAGCCAGCATATACCCTTCCCTCTATTTTAACACCAAATTTCTCACAAGAAACCCTAGTAGAAAATTTAGATCCATTCACTTGAGTTCACATAATTTAAGGAATCTTTTCTTCTTAACCAAAACTAGTTAGCTACAGAAAATGGTTGGAACCGTCTCATCTTCGTCAAAGCTACCGTAGTGTCTACAATGAGTGTTAAGCAGAAGACGCAGTTTCTATGCGTTTAATTCTACACACCAGTGATATAAATTAACTCCAGTTAACTTAATAAGTGCTAATAAGTTCCCTGGGTAATAAGACCAAGTATATGAAGACCACATATTTATGAAGACTACATATCATTAACTAGGTAATTAAAGTGGAGAATAAATAAGTTTATAAATAAATCATTTTTTTTTCGATTCTTATATACTACATCACAACAGTCTGTTAACTTTACTGTTCAGATCAGAAATCTTTAGTCAACGATCAGTAATTGATCAACTTCACATTTTTATAGTATAAATAAAATATTTAATGTCTCACCCTAATGCAGTTGTCAGAAAATTTGAATACATAGTTCCTATCTATCCAGTATATAATAAATTCAAATTAATTTAAAACAAAATAATAGAAAGCAATAAAAAAAAATACGACCAAGAATATATTAAACTATCCTGGGTTTTGTACTGCAAATTGCAATACGTTATAGTACACACAGTATACCTTGAGAAGATATGTACCTATACAAAGAACAATTAACTTTAAACTGCCATTATTCAAGAGATTCCGATCTCTTCGGAGAAGAGATTTGAAAACAGAATACTTTGAGAATACTTTTTCCACTACATTATCTCCAAATAGTGTTGTTAGGGATTTTCGAGTCCAGACGTCATACAAAAACAATTGATATTATTGCTGGCAAACGTACGTAAATATTTGCTTCTCGGTTCTTTGAATAAAATTTTGTCCAAAATGGAGTTACCGTACTGGAAAAGTTCCGACTATTTACCTAAACATATCGAATATTTAGAAACTTCGTTTTTTGATGTTTTTGTATTGTAGTGTCAAGGGTAATTCGAAGACCTACCGCGTAAGAGTTTTGCCAGGTGCCCTGATTATAGTAAAGTTATATCGAAAACTAAAAAAGAAATCGAAAAATATTTTTCAATATTTTTTTCTGTTAATTTATTAAAGTTCATACTTAAATAAAACTATACAGACTTTGAAAAAGTTGCAATTAAATAAGGCTATAGTGTTGATAAAATAAAAATTTTTAAACCGTACTGTACATACTTATTTATCAATAAATAAGCTAATATAGACTTAATTTAGAATTTTAAAATAAAAATGGAGTATGTGGTTCAACTAAAATTCCGATTATACTGGCATATCTATGAAGAATTGACTCAAAATAATTATATATACATACTTATGAACAAATGTACATATATACACAATTCTACTTTAATGATCATTAAATTATTGAAAAATACCAGCGCATATCACCTCAAGTTCTCTGAGTCAGATATTGCAGAGAGCTTAGGTCTGTAAAAATATAAAATATATTGTACTAAACTTAGAGCTTTTAAAAAAGCTTCAATGTTCTTTTGTATTTATTTCAGTGAATCATAGACTAGAGTCGTGTGGTGCTTTTACTTTCGTGACGTATGTTATTTCCTTGGATGCTCTATAACTTATTCAGTTATAAACAATTTTATAAGGTTGACACCTGTAGAGATGATATTAATATGTATATATCGAGAACAAATCAATATTTTTGTGTTTACTACAAACTTACTATGCGCATAAAATATTGTGAAGTAATTACATTTCTAAGAGTAACACAATATTTTAAATGGTAAAATGATGTTCTTAATGTAAATACTTTTAGAAAAAAGTCTTTTACACAATTGACAGTGATAACGCATATAACGAGGAAGAAATTGTCTTATATATGTAACATATATGTACACTTTTGTTTTTAACATTGAAAATGTTTGTATAGAAGCGTTCTACAAAAACGTTAAAGCTTATCTGTAAGTTTTCTAAGTTTAATAATATTTTTGGTGCTGTTAGCTAGCATTTTGTTCTTTAAACTTTGCAGTTTCTTTGTCAACATTTTTGGTCTTATTAGTGAGCACATGATAGATTTTAATGAAGTTGTTTCTTTATCTGATATTCTGCCAATTCCATTAACCATTTTTGATGCTGTTAAGTAGCACTTTGGCTAAATTAAGCATTGAATGTTTGCGGTGTACTTGAAATTTATGAGCAGTACAATATTTTTAATATATAACCTAATAATTTCAAAGAATAACTTAATAATTTCTGTATTGAGAAATTATTAATTGATATTAATGGTATTGAGGATTTTTTTGTGTGGTACTGATATATAATTATAAACATATATAGACCATATTTCAATATCTATCATACATATGATTTGAGAAACATATTTTTATAAGGCTTTAAAAATG